GAAATGAAAGGGGGAATTATAATTCAGAGACAGGCTCCCACAGAGAAAAGGAAGACAAAGATTAAATCAGCGATACAACCTTGACATGCCTTCAGTTCCTGAAAGGTCTTTTTAAAACAGTCTCCTCAGGAACAGTTTGGCCACCACCTGGGAGGGGTTCTCAAGTCCTCATTTAGGAGGTTGGAAGGAGGGAAGGCATGTGAAGGCGCCTTGGGGATGGGCCAAAGACTTCTGTTGCTGATAAAGAGACGCAAGGGCCTCTTGGCCGGCCAGCCTGCAGAATGGACTGCCTGCTAACTTGAGAAGGCGTCCCCCTCCCCGCCTCACGCCCCAGAGGCAGCCGGGCGGCCGGCCTCTCCCTGAGCTGCTCACCACCCGGGGAACCCTGATTAATGCTGCAGGCGCCTTTCCGCTCCCCTGCAACCAGACAGGGGCCCAGAGGTCCCGCTGGCAATAGGACTCTACCAGTTGTGGTCTCTGGGTAGTGACAGCTGGCAGTTTCTAATATATCTCATCTATTTTTTTTCTTGTCTTTAAAAAAAAGCACAAAAACCGCTGTTTGGAGCCAAGTCTGGTTTTCAGGAGCCCCCTCTAGTGGAGATAACCTGCCACTTCAGTCTCCCAGTCAGCCCAGAGGGAACCTCCCTTGCCTGGGAAGATTGGTGAGAGCCCCCTTCTACTTGGAAGGGTCCTTCCCGCTTGCTTTCTGTTTTAGCTCTTAGCTCTTTCTGCCTCATTCAGTGTCAGTCTCTCTGCCTTTACCTCCCCTTTTTGTTACCCTGCTTTCTCTCCGTTTACCTGGGGCTATTTCTACATTGTGACTTGGGTCTTTCCATATGTGTCCTGGCTCCTGCATCTCGATCTGCATCTTTGGTCCATCTGTTTTTGTTTTCGTTCTTCCTGAAGTTCAGGACACCAGGTCTGATGAGCTGAAAGTGCTTCGACAAGGCCTTTGATAGAACGGCCTAATCTCAGAAGGCCAAAAGAGGGACCCATAGGCCAGATCCCCAGTGAGAAACACTAGGAGAGCTGAGAGTTCCTGGAGGAGAACGGGACTCTGGCAAAACTCCCTTCGCCACCTCCATCCCCCAAGCCAATCTGGGTGTCTTGAGCTGATGCACGTGTTTGAAGCGGTCTAGAACCTGAGCTTGGCGTTCCCGTGCCGGAGTCCCGAGTGAAACCAGCTCCCAGTTCTCCCCACTGGCCTGCCCGCTTCCTGGTCCCTGACATGTATCCTGCCATGAAGACAACTGGTGATGCCAGGGTGAAGGGACAGCTGGCAGGGGGTGGGAAGGGGGTGCTGGTGCCAGGGAAGAGGGAGAGAAAAGCGTAAGTGGGAGCCAGGTCTGCGCCTGGGGCTGAGGCTGGCAAAGGCAGACGGAGTGAACACTCCGCTGGGGTGAGAGAGAGGCACTTACTGGTCCTCTAACTGGCCCTTTAGGTTTCTGAGAGATACCCTCACCCAAGCGGGAGTTTGGCCAGGGCAGGGCACGGGGTTAATGGTTTGCCAAGCATGAGAGCAGGGAACTTTTGTATTGCTCAGGCCGAGGCCTTTTCTGTCAGCTCTCCCCCTTCTTCCCCTTCTTTTATTTACACTCTTACCCAGTAGGGACCCTGCTCCCCAACAAAGAACTTTCTCACCTCTATTTCTGCCCTCAGTTCCAGATGGAACAGTGTGGAGCTAGATAAAGAAGTTCCATATGCCCCATGCCAGGGAATGCCCCCCCCCAACCCTAGTGCCTGAGGGCTAAGCCCAAGAGAAAGGGGGGTCCCCATTCTGACCATCCCTCCCTCCCTTGGGACCAGCTGTTTGACCCCGGGAAGAACTGCCTTTCTCTCTGTCTCCACAGGGCTCACCTTTAGAAATGACCAAAATAGAAGTGGACACACACCCACCCTCATTTACTCTAATCGGGCATGAAATCTTTGTAACTAAGTGAAAAAACTGTTTCCCATAAGGGAATCAGTTCCATTCATCATTGTTTGAACTGAGCATATGTGCAGGAGAGAAACAGAATATTCCCATATAATGAATTGATAGCAGACTGCCCCTGGGCGAGGGTGGTAGTTGTGGCGGGGTTGCCCATGAGCTGTAAAACTCCAGCACCTCAAAGCCTGTCTCTGCATTTCCCTGTGGACAGTCCTGAATTATTTGTAGTTAACAGACTGTAACACAATGCTCGAGTCTCTTTATGATCAGAATGGGGGTGGGGGTGAGGGGCTTGGCTCAGAGTTCCTTGCCTCTCTGTTTGCTATGATGGACAGAAGTATATTGGGCCCCAGTCTGTGTGTGTGGGGACAGCTGTGTGGCAATACTGAGAGACAGCTGGGGGTGGGGGGGGGTGTTGTTGCTGGAGACAGGAATAGCCTCCCCCACCCCAAACCCTATATCTTGGGGAGGCAGTCATAGAATAGGAGGCAGGAGAGAGTCTATAAAACCCCCAAACAGTGACAATTCCAGAACCATAAATATTTCATAGTACCTGAGCAGGCGGGTTTAAGCTGCTGCCAGCTGCTGCCCTGTATATTTAACTATGTCACTGGTTTCCCGTCCCGCTCGTGTGTGTTTTCCTGTAACATGCCCATGAAATAAAGATTAACAGAATCATCAGAAGTGTTTGTAGATGGGGAAGAGACCTAAGAGAGAAGTAGCTGTTCTTTGAGGGTTTTCTGTTCAGCCTCATTTTGAGCACAAACTCCACAAAAATGGATGGTGAACTTTTACATGTCCCACACCTGCAGCTTTTGATGGTCAAGAGGGCTGGAGGGTGGATGTTCCCTGGTGCTTTTGGGACAGGGGTAGGCATTCGGGCCAGCTCTGGCAGGGGCTACCAACCTTGGTTTCTTCCAGGTAGTGGACATGCCGCACCATTTACTCTTCATTTAGACTTGGGCTGAAAGGCCAGCCAGCCTCCTGCCCTGCTTGAATCTAGGCAGTGGCGAGAAAGCTTGGTGCTTCTGTCCTGCCAAAGGAGAGGACCAAGTGGGGATTCCCTTGCCAGGCTTGGGGGTCCCTGGGCAGAGGAGACCTTCTGGTACTTTATCAGGTCAGACCTTGCATCTCCTCAGCATCATCTCCATTGCACATGGCTCCAAGTGTCATTTCCATTTAACTGCTTTGGAAGCCAATTTGCCCCATCCTAATGCAATTTGCAGAGGACAGTGAGGGAGCAGAGAGGGCAGTCTGTACTGCCCTCCCTTTATCAGCGGGACCCTGAAGACGGTCAGCTGGGGGACGACGGGAAGAAGTGGCTCCTTTAGGTACCACTGGCAATGAGGACAAGTTCTGGGATGAGGAAGGGTTGGGGTGAAGGACAGCGGAGATGCCAGGTTGAAGAAAGGAACAGAAACACAACCTGACCAGGATATCTTGACAGATGCTCTCAGTCTCCTTGGTTGCCTCCCCTCTCCCCTCACTCCCCCACCCCCATTCCCCAGGCCAAGGAGGAGAGATCACAGGTAATTAGTTCAAATGGTGCTTTTGTGAGGTGAGGGGAGAAGATAATGAATTCTTCCCTCTTCTAGACAGGAGGTCAGAGGAGAGAGGGCTGCTAGCAACTCCAGGAGCTTCCTAGGATGAACGCACAGAACTTGTGCACTGCGATCAGAAGAGCTGGATTCGTTCAGCCAGAGCTACGTCTTCCCCCTTGTTCTCTAGCTCCGTTGAAGGCCCCAGAGTCTACAGTCTGCCCAGAGGGAAGAGGGAAGTTTCAAGGGCTGAGAAAGAAGCCCAGGGGCAGGGGTGAGGGGATTGGCTTGCCATCAAGCCAGGAGGGGAGAGCTGAACCTGACTCAGCTCCCAAAATGTCCAGCACAGCTCAGATACTCATAAACCTTGTTCACTGTGCTCAAGAACACAAGGAAGAGAATGAATGGGTCCCCAGATTTCTGCAGGTTCCGACAAGCTGCTTGGTCCCCCAGCCACTGCCTCAAGTGCCAGCTGGCAGCCCCAACCCCTCAGACTGGTGGTGTCTTAGGTCTCTTGCACAGCCACTGCTGGTATGTCACTAGATCCCCACAGGAAAACTGGCCATACTTCCAATGGGCACCTCTGGGGGCCCTCATTCTAGACTCTTAATGACCTAGAACCCCAAATCTTTTACACCCCCGCCCCCAGCCATTATCTCTATTCCTCCGGACCTGAGTTTGAATAAGCAGCTCCTCCAGGGCAAGGGTCATGCCAAATAGGTAGATATTTGTCTAGGATCTGAAATGACAGTTTTAGTGACTCTCTCTTTGGCCATCCAGCCCATGATTAACATTTACAGAGACTACCTGTAGGATGGATCAAAAGCGTTAGAATTTTCAAAGAGCCCCACAACACTTGTGCGGTGGGGCAAGAAGGCGACCACGGAGGAGACTCTTGGATCCTGAGCAAGCTTCTACTTCAGTTCCCAACCCTCGCCTGCCGCTCAGAACCATGGAAGGTGCTGACGGACGAGCAGCGCGAGGGCGCACAGAGCGGGTATGGAGCACCTCTCCCATTCAGCGCCTCGGACTGGCTCCTCCCCGAGCCTGTGGAACCCGCGCAGCATTCCTCTTCCATTCCTAAGTCCCCGGGATCCCAGGGAACAGCCAGTGGCCACCAGAGACTCCGGCACTGGAGTGAACGCCCCCAAATCGAGCTCTGGCCACAGTGGCCCTGGGCTCTCTTGCTTGTGCCACCGACGCACGCGTTGGGCTCCAGCTCACGGGACAGCCCGCTGCCCCAGGGCTCCCCAAAGCCGCAGAGCGCCGGCAGGTGCGCGGGGGAGGCGCGCCGCCGAGCGCGGCGGCGGCCGGCAAGCCAGTGGCAGGGAAGCCGGTGGCCGGCGGGGAAGGGGCCCCGAGTCCGCCCGTGAAAGTGGCCGAGCCCGCGCGGAGACTCGCCGGTCGCAACCGAGCCCGGGAATCAGGGGCCAGGACCCAGGAGAGGCGCCTGGGAGCGGGAGGAGCCGCCGCGGGGAGTGCGGTTGCCTGGGGAGAGGGCGGAGGGAGCCGGCGACTCGAGCGCTGCTTACCCAGCTCCGCGACGCCTGTCTGTCCTCGCGTCTTTGGTCCGTCCGCCTCGGCCGCCGGCTGCTGAGGGCGGCGCGCTGCCCCTCTAGCGACCCGCAGCTCGCAATCACGGGGAGAACCACATCCACATGGAGTCCAAATTCATTAAAATCCACGTCAAGCCACCAGCCACTTATCTGTATTCCTGAAGTGGCCCCTCGGTCTCCGGTCCGCGCGCCCCTCCGTTCCTGTCGCCCCGCGGCAGCCCCACCGGGCGCTTGTCGCCGGCTCGCGGGGGAATCCAGGAGCCACTGAGGGGGCGTCAGGGGGTGGCTGGCGGTGTCTCTCCTGAGGAAGCAGCAGAGCCCCGGCTGTCTTCAGATTTTTCCAGCGCGACTTTCCGGGCTCCTCTGACATCAGCAATCTCGGCGCTTCCTTCCCTTCTTCCTCCCGGTTCGCTCACACTCCCATTTCCTCCGGGAACCGGGCTTTCTCAATCTATAGGGAGGTCTGCTGCGCTCGCGCGCCCCAGCTCGCGGGGGCTCCCTTCCGATCGCTCGCCCTCCCGGCTGAAGAATTCCCAGCAACTGCGCCCAGCCGCCCTCCCGCTCCAGACTGGCGAGGACGCCGCTCCTCCCGGCAGCTCCGGCTCCCGCGGTGGCGGCCGCGGCCGGGCTCTGCGCGCCGGCCTCCCTCCCTATATTACCAGGCAGCTCATTATCATAGAGGCCGCGCGCCTTAACCCCCTCCCTGCCAGGCGCGCCCGCCGCGCAGGGGCCGCGCCCGCCGCTGGCACCGCCCGCCGCCGCCAGCCCCCTGTCCCCTCCCCCGCCTTCCCTGACTTCTTCCTCCGCCAGCTGTCAACAAAGAAGAAGCACGTTTAGCGTCGGGAGGCCACCCCCGCAACTGCCCGCCCCGCGCCCAGCTCAGCCCGGACCGACCCACCAGCCACCTTAAGTGGCAAGGGGCAACGAAAATCCTCCGGGGTCTGGGAATTCGGGTGCAGGCCTGACCAGCCCAGCTGGCTTAGCCCCGGGTGCAGGGAGAGCTCAGGACCCACGCAGTGGGGATGTGGGCTCCCCCACCCTTGGCATCACCTGTCACCGCGCACAGCCTGCACACCTCACTCTTCATCTTTAATTTGAGTGTGGAGTGAATGGGGCGGAACCGGCCTTGCCTGATGAGGTTGACACGGGGGTCTCGGAATCTGTGGGAGCAAATTTCTTCTGCTGGTGAATTTCAGAAAGCCAACAAGCTGTCAAATGAGGTTTGAAGTTGTTATTAATTATTATTTTCATAACGCGAAGATGAGCCTTGCTCGGAATCTCAAGCTCCCAGCTCTGTTAGGGATCCTGGGCCTCTGGCACGCGGAGAGGACCAGAGGGGAGATTTCTGTGTCCAGACTCGGGGAGGCTGCTTGGCAGGGGAGTCAGAGGTGCCTGGAAGATAACTTATTTTAATAACCTAACGTGAGAGATTTCTGGTTCCGCATGGCCATGCATCGGTGCCCTTGCGACCACTGATTAGACATCATAAAGAGTCTCGGTGTCTCGGCAGCCCCTGGACGCGGCTTTCTAAAAGGGGCCTGCAAGCCAGACCCCAGCCGGGTCGCAGGATCTGCGTCGTCCCTGCTGGAGATTAGGGCACCGAGAGTTTACTCTACACAATCGTGTCCTGATAAACTTCCTCTACTGCCCTCTCGTGGCCACAGACTTCAGTGATAAAAACAGGGGGAGAAATTTACTCCTGAAACCCTGAAGGGACCTCCATGGAATTCCCAGAGCAGTGGGGGCCTTAAAAAAATAAATAAATAAAAAGGAAGGAAGGAAGGAAAGAAAGAAAAATTTAGACTCATCTGTCATCTTGCAGATTCGCCCATTCAATACAGAATTGGGGGAATCTCAGCTTTACTTCATCTACAGAAATTATTTAATTCCTTCAAAGTTTCTTCTTCATTGTAATTAGATGAAATTTGTCTCCCTGGGACTCTCACTGGTTATTCCTGGTTGTGTCCTGTGGAGTCATAAAGAATCTAAACTGTCTTTCCTGGTCCATACCTGTTCTTTTCTTTGAACTTCTTTAGCATTTACTGTTGGCACCCCTTCACTCAATTATCTTAAGTTACCCTATATTATTACTAATTTCTTTTTACAAGTAGATCTTGTCTCCACATCCAGACAGTCTAGTCTATCTTCTTATTTCTGGGTAGACCATATCTAAGCCACAATTTATTAAGAAAGATGATTTGAATAAAGTGCTAGAAGATTTTAGAACAACATTTCTCTGATTTGTGTGATGCTTGGAGCATCGGTCTGGCCAGCTACACCTGACAGCCGGCGGTCAGATTGGAAGTATCTGGGTGACAAAGCTGGAAGCTGACAGGGCCTTTGGTTCTAAATCAAGTGCTGTGTGACCCTGGTATAGGTCACCTCTCTTCCCCATGCCTCAATTTAATCACATCTTAGAAAGATTATAGTACAATTTAAATGCTTAAATTGCATTAATGCAATTGTGTGACTAACCAGCCCAGGGTCCAGAAATAAATTCTAAAGGAAGAGTAAGAGAGGATAAAATGAAACAGATTCCTTCACTTCCCCATCCTTCACTCCTAGCCTTCCCTTCCCTTCCTGAATAAAGGGAGAGAAAGAGTGAGTGAGGAGAGAAGACAAGCAGAAGAACACATCGCAGTCAGCATGGCACTGACAGAATGCCACCCTTTCCCACATTTTCATGGAGCAGGGTCTGAGATCTGAGTCCTGTGAGACTATGGCAATGCCTGTGGTCAAAAAACACTACTGGGAAGAACACGAACTTGGTCTAATAGGAGGTACCCTGGATGCAGTAGCCTTAACACCTCTGGGCCTCACTTTTTCCATCTGTAAGATGGGAATGTCTCCATCAATCTTCAGACAATTGAAGGAAGCAAAGTAGATGTATTTTATAATGTTAGAAGAATTAAGGGTATCATTAAAATGGAAATTATTTGTTCATATTTTTAGTTCTAATAGCCTAGAGAAAATATGGATCTTATTAGTTAAGCACATAATTACAACAATATATCATCAAAATAAAGACAATAACAACTCAGGTTCATGGTTTATATTTAGATATAACATCCTCCTAAGCAATGGCAATATACATGAGCCTTGGTCTTTAAAGGTGCTCAAATAACCTCATTTCTTTTTTTGCTTGATATCAACTTATTCATTTATTTATTGCACAAATATTATTTATTAAAAATGAATTTATTAGATTTCTGCCTTCAGTGAAATTATGTACGGGACCTAATTATCCCTTCCACACATGCTCATTTTTTAAGAAAAACATGCTAATAATCCAGCAGGTTCTCTACCCGAGGCCCGTCTGTGTATTTCTGGAATTTGAGTTTTCTGATATCTATCTGGACTTTGATCTTCTCTTCCTCATCCTGTCCAACTGATGCCAAACCACAGCCCTTGGGGACTCACCAAGCTTTTGCACAGTGACTGGCAGGCAATCCATTCTCATTTCCACGAGGAGGGATAGCCACAGCCCAGTCCCGTTCTGGGCAAGTAGTGGGTTTTTAATAAATATTTATTAAATGGATGGATGGATGGGAACATGTTTGTCTTCTTGTGTTGGCCAAAAAGTTTGTTTTTTTCCCATAATGTAGCTCTAGTAGTGCTTAATTGTTTTTAACTTCATTTGAAACAATTTTGTTAGATTGCATTGTGACAGCTGTCATATCATCATGTATTTAAAAAAATCAAAATTCGTGAATTTTTGTGTAGCCATTTTAATATTGAAGATGGAAGAGAACATGTGACTTTTTTCACATACTATGCTTTATTATTTCAAGAAAGGTAAAAACACAACTGAAATGCAAAAACAGATTTGTGCAATGCATGGAGATGGTGCTGTGACTGATCAAACATGTCAAAAGTGGTCTGCGATGTTTCGTGCTGGAGAGTTCTTACTGGACGATGCTCCACAGTCAGGTAAACCAGTTGAAGTTGATAGTGATCAAATTGAGACATTAATTGAAAATAATCAGTTTTATAACACACAGGAGATAGACAACATACGAGATCTGTCTGGAAAACGTCCAGCCATTGTTAACATAACGACAACAATTTGTGTGACATTGATGTAACCTGGCAGCCAAGGAGAGTGGACGGGAATGCTCACGTGTAAACAATGATGACTTCACTGTACTAGTCAGTGGGGGCAGTAGGAGCTGTTGAGTGAGCATGTGTACTGCGTGGCTCTCGTATTCAAAATGACAGAGTGTGCGAAGCAACGAATGTACATCAAATTTTGCATTAATATTGAACATTCCTCCTCAGAAACTATTCTGGTGGTTCAGAAGGCCACAGCTATAGGCAACCGGTGATTGGCGGCTTCATCATGGCAATGCTCCTGCTCATGCATCACATCTCGTGCAGAGTTTTTTTGTGAAACATCAAATCACCCGGGTGACTCAGCCCCCTACAGCTCAGATTTGGTGCCCTGTAACCTCTGGCTTTTCCCAAAACTAAAATCACCTAGGAAAGGGAAGAGATTTCAGACTGTCGATGAGATTCAGGAAAATATGATGAGGTAGCTGATGGCGATTGGGAGAACTGTATGAGGTCTCAAGGTGCCTACTTTGAAGGGGACTGAGGCATCATTGTCTTCGGTACAGTGTTTCTTGTATCTTGTAGCTTTTCAATAAATGTCTCTATTTTTCTTATTACATGGATGGATACCTTCTGGACAGACCTTGTACTCAAAATATCCAAATCAATAGTTCCTGGTGAAAGTGAGAACTGTTTTTTATTTTACGGAAAAAAAATAAAAGACAACCAACATAGGGACTTTTTGGCCAACCCAATGTATAAAATCATCATTTTGGGGAGACCCTCAAAAACAAAGCAGGGTTCTTCTCCACCCCAATCTACCCACCTCCAGTGGTCACGGGTGCTCCTGGAACCTGTTCTTACAGTCATCTGTGGCTCCCAGGCCCCAGGCCCCTTCTTCGCTTGTCACTAGATGGGTAACTTGGGGAAGACGATGGAAATGGGAGAAAACAAGGGAGCAGCATTCTAGGCTGGAGCTGAATTTTTCCTCGGAGAAAGGAGTATGAATTTCTCCTGCAGAAGGCAAGTCTGGCTGAGCAGGCCTCCTCAGGCCCTTGGAAGCAAGCCTTAGACTTGGGGGAGAATGGGCCCCAATCGGCAACTAGCCGATGCCAGGGGGAGTCCTCTCTCTGTCACAGCAGCAGCTCCAGCCCCACAGATAGATGCCCGTACAGTAGCCCCTTGGATCGCAGGCGGTATTTTTGGTGCTGGAAGCTGGCCACATTTTGGCAGCCTTTCAACATTAAGTCTGCTTGCTTTGGGGGGTGGGGGGTGGCAAGCCATCAGTGCTCAGCATGGGAATGCTGTCTGCGAGTGTGTGCATGCATATATTTAGGGTGCCTGGAGCAGGATGGGGGCTGGGCTTGGGAGACTATGGGCCTGGACCTGCGGTCTGGAGGCCTTTGGACTTGCCAGTGTCAGCGTGCGATCTTTGGGGGAGTGGTCTCTGTTCCCAGGCTTGCATCTGGCTCTCAAAGCTGACACCACAGATGCCACCACCAACTTAATCGATCTCTGCTCTAAATAGCACATCATCTTTCACTTGCCCCGACCCTGAGATTGCCCCTTGTGGGC